AGCTCTTTCCTCTATTTCCTTTGACTTTCCTCTTGTCCCACTATCATGCTCAGTCCCCACCAGGGTTTCAGCAATTCCTCTTGGTTACATTCCCCTCGATCATGCCCTACCAGGCCTCCCACACCCTCCTCACCACCGATTTGGATTGCTTGTTCCCTTATCACTGGGTTTCTTAACACTGCTACCTTTCCCCCCACCTCCCCTTCTCCCATTTTCCCCGGGAACTGTCCATCCCGTTGTTTTCTCCTCCCAATTGTTCATCCAGCCTATCTTATTTAGACAGACCGGTGGAGATAATAACATGCACAGAAACAAGACAGAACAAAACCAAGCAACAATATACAACAAATCAATGACAAAAAAACAAAACAAAATACAAGAAAGAAAAGCTTGTAGTTAGTTCAAGGATTGTTTGTTGGCCTTTAGGAGTGTTTTCCAGTCCAGACTGTTGGGGTACCATGCCCTGGCCCCAAAGTCCACCTTCAGCATTCCCTGGGGACCTCGCCGCTCCATTCCCTTGCTGTTCTGTTGCACCCCCTTAGTGTTTTGCCTTGGTGTGGTGGGATCAGATCGGGTGAAATTCCCACACTGTGTCTCTGGTGCTGTCCCCCGCAGGGCCATGGGTCAGTGAGGGGGCCACATATCTCATAGTGGGGCCAGCCATGTGGTCCTCTCTGTGGACTGGCTGCTCTAATCGGGAACATTGTTCTCAAGGCCTGGTGGGCCAGGATGTGCTCCACTCTCTCCTCCTCCCCCTTCATCTGCTCCCGTGTGCTCCCATCAGATATGTCCCTCCCGGAGCTGCAGATTCAATGCCGGCCTTTGAAATAAATTCTTCTGTGGGGAGGGCCAGGTGTCCACTTAGGAGTTGGGATTGGGGCCAGCCCCACAACGAAAATAATTTTATGAGGCAATGAATGTACAAATGTGCTTTACACAATTGATGTATGTATGGATTGTGATAAGAGTTGTATGAGCCCCTACTAAAATGATTTAAAAAAAAAGAAAGAAAATAATTTTATGGTTAGGGGTCACCACAACATGAGCAACTGTATTCAAGGGTCGTGGCATTAGAAAGATTGAGAACCGCTCTCTGGCCTGGGACTAGTTTGCGGCAAGATGGCCAAACGCACCAAGAAGGTCGGGATCGTGGGCAAATACGGGACCCGTTACGGTGCCTCCCTCAGGAAAATGGTGAAGAAAATTGAAATCAGCCAACATGCCAAGTACACTTGCTCCTTCTGCGGCAAAACCAAGATGAAGAGGCGCGCTGTGGGCATCTGGCACTGCGGTTCCTGCATGAAAACGGTAGCTGGTGGAGCCTGGACCTACAATACCACCTCTGCTGTCACAGTCAAGTCCGCCATCAGAAGACTGAAGGGATTGAAAGACCAGTAGAGGCTCCGCTATCTGAAACCTCTCTGGCCTGTAATAAATGGGTTAATTTATGTAAAAAAAAAAAAAAAAAAAGAAAGATTGAGAACCATTGTTTTAAATATGTCGTATGCACACTAACCTTAAGAATCATTAAGCTAAAGGAAGGAACCAAAAGCCTTGTAGTCTGTCATTGTCTAGGCCGCCAGACTAGTCTGCTTTTAAAGATTTTTCTCTGATTCTTAATAGTGAAAGGGAGGGGAATATACAATTATGTTTCTGCCTCTGTAGTTATAGAACGTACTAGCAGTTTCTTTGTTGCTCTAACTCAGTGAGCCATGTGGGAGTGGGAGTGAGTTGAAGCCACTCTCCTGTAGTCAGCCCGAACTGCCCACTGAGTGAGTGAGAACCACAGATCCAGCTGTCTAGTAGACATCGCTCCCCCGCAAGTTCTGCACATCCAAAAACCAAACCTCTTGCCCTGGAGTGATTCTGACCTAGTGAGACCCAGGATGTATAGAGAAGCCCCGGTGGTGTAGTGATCATGCTTTAGGCTACTAACCAAGAGGTTAGCAGTTCAAAATTACCAGGCACCCCACAAGAGAAAGATGAAGCTTTCTACTCCTGTAAAGAGTTAGTCTTAGAAACCCATGGGGCAGTTCTACCCTGCCCTACAAGGTCACCAGGAGTCGGAATTGACTCGATGGCAATGACTTTGTTTTGTTTGAATGTGTATAGAGTAGAACTGCCCCACAGGTGCCTTGGCTGTCATGGTTAGTGCAGCAGACTGCCAGACCTTTCTTCCATGGTGCTCTTGGGTAGTTTCAAACTGCCAGCTTTGGGTAGTCAGGGGCAAGCTGCTCCACTCATGCCCAAATATCAATTCTAGTCCAGTGACCTGGCACTGCCTTAGGTTTTTAATACTCTGTCATATGTTACACATCAGGAGCCTCCCTTGTAACTGGCAGTGATATTTCTGCAATGTAAATCTTTGTCATTCCCCCATGTTACATGCTTTGCAGGCTGCTTATCACTGAGAAAAAGCAAGCTACTTCACTTTGCAGAAGTCTCCCTTCCTCTGCCTGTCCTTCTCCTGCTGGCTGCCTTTACAACCATCCTGTGAGGGAGTGACAAACAGCCTCCAGAGTGACAAACAGCCTCCACCTCTGCAGACATCTGATTGGAAGAACGTTGTGTTGACTCCTTCCTCTAGTCCTCCAATGTCTCCCGACACTCCTCTCTTCAGAGACTGCCGGGTGCTAGCATTTCTTGTCATGTATGAGACCCTGTCCTTGCTTCCCCTTATCTCGAATAGTCTCTACCAACATTTGCAGATTTGAATGCCTGCTTTGGCTAGGTGCCCTGGAATGAGAAAGAGGTTCCTTGTCAATCAACTGATCCTACTGGCTACCCTTTAGCAGTACGTAACTGGCATTTTTGAAAAAAGCTCTCCATTCAGACTGGGAATTTGTTCATGGTACAGAAACTGATTAGGTGTTCTGAGGACATAGTTCAAATTGTGTAACTGTTTCCACTTCTAAAACAGCCTTTTTGTTTCAGGCAATTAATAGTATCGTATCTATTGTTTTTGGTACCCGAAGAATTGCCTGGGCCCACCTTGATCGGAACATGGCACTGCTGGACTGGCAGCAGGACGAAAGCTGCCAAATGACAAAAGGAACATACCTGTCAGCGGCCTACTTAGAAGAGGTAAGACAGGTGGGCCTCGCAGATCTGCCTCCTGGAGCACCGTGTCTAGTCTCCAACAGAATGTATAAAGTCCGGAGGATGGACTTTCTTTTGGCACTTAGCTCCGTGATCGTTTTCTGTTGAATCTTTTTTCACGTCATTCAATGATGGCAACGTATACGGTTCTAAATGTTTTAGAACGTCAGCACCATCAGCTACGCATACATGTGAGAACAGGTTCAAGTCGTTTTAAGTTAATCATTGGAGAGCTAGCTGATTGATTCTAGGCTACTTATTCTAAAGATGAGTGAGACCGTTCTAAACTGTCTAATCAGAAGACCAAAATGGAATTGAGAAATAACCAGGCCTCCTGTAGAAATAACCGATGCCTAGAAGGATTAAGCCACTTGCCTGAGCTCCATTTGCTCCCGACAGAACCATGCCCAGAACTTAGCTCTCCTCCAAATAATGTCTTTTCAGTTATTCCAGAATTGGCAAGGGCAATTTGAATACCCTGATTATAATGTCTTCCAATAGGGTGGGGAACCTAGACATTAAAATGCCATGATTTCTGCTTACTGTGTTTTTTTGTTTTATCTTAAAGATGTCTTCTGTCATTTCAAAGATGCCCACAGCTGACATCTATGTTCTGGAAAAAAACGGACTTCCAATTCAGAATTCCTCGCTGTTCCCGATACTGTTACACTTTCATATCGTGGAAGCTATGCTGTACACCTTGTTAAATAAGACATTTGCCCAAGATGGCCAGCACCAGGTGCTGAGCATGAACCGGAGTGCAGTGGGAAAGCACTTTGAGCTAATGATCGGAGACACGAGGACAAGTGGGAAAGAGCTTGTGAAGCTGTTTCTCTCTGAGTCTGTCCTGAAGGCCGAGCCTCGAGTATCCTTCCCATTGGATAAAGTGGTCCAGTACAGACAGATGTTTTCTTCTACCGAACAGAACAGAGTCGAGGAGCTCTATGATTCACTGCTTCAAGCTGTTGCCTTCTATGAGCTAGCAGTTTTTGAGCCTTAAAATTCTGAGGTTAATCTGTATCACAGTACATTGATATATATATATATTTATTTCTTTTTAAGCTATAAAACAAATGGGTTTTGCCACTCACACCACTGGTCCTATAGGGCTCATCCATCCTGGATTCCCTGTATTTTCAATTCCTGTCTGTACCAGTGTACCTCCTCTAGTCTAGTCAGTCTTGCAAGATAGAATTCGAGTCATGGTAGTGGGAGCGGGGAGGGGCAAAACAGGGAGGGTAAAGGGAGAAGGGGTAGGAAAGAGGGAACCGATTACATGGAACTGTGTGTGACCTCCTCCCTGGGGGACAGACAACCAAAAAGTGGATGAAGGGAGACGTCGGACAGGGCAAGATATGACAAAATACCCATTTATAAACTATCAAGGGCTCATGTGGGAGGGGGGAGCGGGGAGGGAGGGGAAAAATGAGGACCTAATGTCGGGGGTTAAATGGAGAGAAAATGTTTTGAGAAACGATGTACAAATGCACTTTACACAATTGATGTGTGTATGGATTGGGATAACAGTTGTATGAGCCCTAATAAAATGTTAAAAAAAAAAAAAAAGAAAGAAAAGTTCAGAAACACACACACACACAAAAAAAAACAAATGGGTCTTGAACATCTGATTAATGTATGAGAAAACAAGTTTAACTTAGGCTTTGAGATTCTGTGGCTTTCAGGTCTTAGTGGTTAACAGTGAAATGTTTGCCCAACAGCCGAAATGAGAAGCAACGTTCTCACCCCTTGCAGTGCCGTGAATTTGTAATGTGACTCTTCCGGCCATGGCCTTCATGGAGACAAGCTAGACCTGCCCCTGTGGGTTCCGATGGTATGAATCTGTGTGGGAGCAGGATCTTCATCTTTCTCACAGGGAGCACCTGGCAGTTCCAAACTAGTTAGCCTCACGTGTAGGGTGGATTCCTGTTGGCATAGACTCAGTGGTGGTGAGTTTCGTTTAAGTTTGGGCCAGAGCTTTTGTTATTCTCATCACGTGACTCTTGCTTTCCTGCTGGGTCTGGGTAAGATACAGGTCGGATGACATGATTCAGCTGTAGGTGTCATGATTGCCATCCTGCAGTCAGATCAGCTATCATCCTGCCTATAAGATGAGCTCTCTCAGAAGCAGGTGTACGAAGTGGAGTTCCTCTCCTATCACCTCCGCCCCTTAGGAGTTTGATCTCGTTCGAGGCTTTTGCCCTGTACATGCATAAACATCTCCACCTTGGGTGTGCTGCAGGCATCTCAAACTATGTATGTCTGATGAAAAGAAAATCAATCCTCCTCTAAAACTACCCTTCCTCCTCCCCCCACTTGCCGTTGTTTTCTGCTTTTGGCAAATAGATTCCCAACAGTTGCTCATGCCAGACATTATTGCCCACATATTTCTGGAAAGAACTATGTCAAAAAAAGCCATTTGTGGACATCGATAGGGCATGAAAAGCATTATAGGATGCTGACAGGCATTCAGATTTAGCTCCTTTTATTGTATCATAAAGGAGGCACACTCCCCTTAGAACAATCAACCATTCGAGATCAAAAGAGCAGCATTTTCTCAAAGACCAAAAGGGTGAGGAAGGAGGAATGGAAATAGGACACCTGCTGGGATAGGCGATGCTATATTGTGGGGACTGCAGTCAGTGATATGAAACAAAATATGTATGAATTGCTGAATGGACAGCTAATCGGTAAATCTTCATACTATTCACAATAAAGTGAATCTGAACCTCTGAAAGTATTGTCTTGAGATCATCTTTAAACTGTAAACCAAAATTAGTGCGCGCACACACACACACACACGTCTTATTAAAACCAGATAGTCGCTAGTAACGACCAAAAATGTCTGCTTTGACTATTAATGTTCTTTTAAGACTACCTCTATGGGCTCAAATTGACAACAGTAAGTGAAGGGATTAGATCAGGACCTTGAAGGACAGTGAGTTTATGTTAATGGAGGAGGGACAACTCAGGGAAGAGAGAATGGTTAGGAGGGTGTCCTACAAATAGAAACTATTGAACTAGTGTATGTTTTGTTGTGTATATGCTCAACAATTTAAAGGAAAAATGTTCATCAAAATCTTACAGAAATACCTCCATTAGTTCTTGATCTTTGGTGGTTTTGTTCTGTTGAGTTACTGTATCTACTCAAGTATAAGCCGACCTGAATATCAGCCAAGGCACCTAATTTTACCACAAAAACTGCATTAAAAATGTGCTGAAAACGATCACTGAAGACAAATGGGTGCATAAGCAAATGTGGTAAAGAAAGCTGATGGTGCCCGGCTATCAAAAGATATAGCGTCTGGGGTCTTAAAGGCTTGAAGATAAGCAAACGGCCATCTAGCTGTGAAATAACAAAGTCCACATGGAAGCAGCACACCAGCCTGTGTGATCTTAAGGTGTCGATAGGATCAGGTATCAGAGACCCAGAGCGAAAAATCAAAATATGAATGAGGGGGGGAGGGTGAAGTAGTTGCCCAAAGCCAATCTGTAGGCAATTGGACACCCCCTTACAGAAGAGTCATGGGGAGAAGACGGGCCAGTCAGGGTGCAGTGTAGCACCGATGAAATATACAGCTTTTCTCTGGTTCTTTAAAGCTTCCAACCCTCCACTATCATGACCCTAATTCTACCTTACAAATCTGGCTAGACCATAGCATGTTCATGGGTACAGATAAGAGCTGGAAACACAGTGAATACAAGAGAGATAAACTCCTTGGGACCAATATTAAGAGTAGCCATACCAGGAGGGTAAGAAGAAGGTGGGGGGAGATAGGGGGAACTGATCAAAATGACCTATCTATAACCCCCTCCCAGGGGGATGGACAACAGACAAGGGGGTAAAGGGAGACATCGGACAGTGCAAGACATGAAAAAATAATTATAAATTATCAAGGCTTCATGAGAGAGAAGGAGGGGGGATGAGCTGATACCAAGGGCTAAAGTAGAAAGAAAATACTTTGAAAACGATGGCAACATATGTACAAATGTACTTGACACAATGGATGGATGTATGGTGATGAGATGTGCAAGCCCCTAATAAAATGATTTTGACAAATGTGCTGAAAAAAAGGCTTTTGCACGAGTATATATGGCACTTTATTTTGGCTCAATTATAATTCAATAATTAATGAAAATGATGTTGCCAATGATAGACTAAGAAAACCGTTAAATGGTCTAAATGTGGAAGAACTCTTGCACTCTGGAGGAAATAAGTCAATCTACTTTAAAAAGATGCTTCACTACAGAACTCCATCTCCATCAGAAGGCGCTTCCGACCGCCCTTCACCGTCTCTCATGTCCTCCAAGGCGTGTGAGAGGCTTGCTGTTGCTTAGGGTGAAGAATTACTTTACCCAAATGATTTTTGTCATTGTCTCTAGTTTCTGGGGAGGTAGCTTAATACAAGGAGTGTCCTAAGTGATCGAAGGGTTTTTGTTATTAATGAGGGCTCTATATCACTTCTGGAAGTTTATATTAAGGATTAATTAATTTTGGGTGGGCACAGGCCATGCCAGAAAAGCTCACCATGTGATGCCAGCCTGATCTTCAGGGACTGGAGGTTGAATTAAACCATATGGATAATGATTCACTCAATCATGCCTTATGTAAAGAAACCTCAATAAAAATTACCCACACGGAAACTACCCACATCTAGGGTGACCTTCCTAGATGGTGGCAGTCACTGATGCCCTGGGAGCGTAAAATGACCATGGAGGTCACAGAAGCGCCATATGGGGGACCCTCCCAGACCTTGCCCTTTGCATCTCTTCTACATATTTTAAAACAAAGCCAATTTATATAAATTATATATACATATATTTCAAAAGATCTTAATCTCTCTTCTGTACAGGAATGAGACCTATATGACAGAGCCCATATCCAGACTTATAAACTAGAAAGTACACACCCAGATGACTACATCAGAACTCCCTATTTACAGCATAAAACCTTTTAGCTTTGACCTTTAATTAGATCAATATACTAATTAATAAAAGTTAAGGTGGGGAAAAAATGAGCTGATACTAAGGGCTCAAGCAGAAAGAAAATGTTTTGAGAATGATGATGGCAACAAATGTACAAATGTGCTTGACACAGTGGATGGATGTATGGACTGTGGTAAGAGTTGTATGAGCCCCCAATACAATGATGGAAAAAAAAGTTAAGGTGAAAATATATGAGATAAGAATGCAACTTCATACATATTGAAAATAGATATGATTATATTTTTCAAAACCGTACAAAATTAGGGTCCAGGCTCCTGGAGTTAAAAAATATACTACAACAGATAAACATCTGAATATTGAGGTCACACATACTATACACACTGGAAATAGGGCATCACTTAAGATACACTCGATTATCTGATTGTAAAATACCTTTAAAGTGAAATGTGATATTTTGAATTCCTGTAATTAAAAATATCCTTTTTTCTACAAATAGTAGCCTTACGTGGAAATGGCGATTATGTAGCAATCCTATAATAGAATTCCCTTTAGTTTATTTTAATGAATAGCAGTTTGTCCAAGAGAGATATAATAGCATCATCAATATCTTAATGAAATAAAACATCAACGGCATAAAAATACTGGAAAATGTACAAGAAAAGTTATTTGACTTGGTAAAATACATATCACATATGCGGATACAAAAAAATTTATGAAAAACAATTCATACTCTTTATTTTGTCAACATTCAGTGATTCAATGGTAAAATACGCTGGAGGAATACACTACAAAAATTGATCATGGAGATCCAAGTTCTTGAAAAATTAGCATAATTTTCTTCATAGAAAGTTTTCCCTTATATATTTACATATGCAGTTTTGTATTCTGTAAACTTATTGTAAGAAGATTACTATCTATCTAAGTGATCCATATTTACAATTCAACAGAGCACTAATACTTGGGAAGGAGTGGGTCAAAGAAAATTAATTTAGCACTGAAATATCTTTGAGAACTCACCTTCTAGAAATAGCTTACATATAAAACCACTCTAACAAAGCTAAATCATGTAATATAAGAAATCCTGAGCAATAAAAATACTACCACAATCATATATACAACACGTTACTCAAATTTTCCATTTAAAATATTTGTACACTAGTAAAAAATATACAAATAGACTTTTCAATGTACATTAAAGAGACCAAAGCTCTTTCATAAAAATTGACAATATAAAAATGCATATTAAGGACCACATAGTGATGACAATCTGTACAAAGCGTAATTCAGGTGGAATACTAGGGGAAGTCTGCTGCTAAAGCCGCCATAGTCTCTTTAGAAATGTCAAGATGGATTCCTTCAAAATAATGCAGGAACCTACCAAAATAACAAAGAAAATATCATTTAATTTTAGAGCTGTTACCTGATGAAAACATTAATGTTGAAACAACTGCCTAAAATGTTCTTTTTTCATGGAAGTTTTACCTTCTTTTACTTTTCCCTTGTTCTTTTAACTTCTCAGTCCTACAAATGCTTCGCAGAGTTGGCAAGTACTCAATCACACCAGCTTGTCTGTTACTCAGGTTCAAAAGAGACCGACTAGAAAATACACTTTTCACGACAGCTATCCTCTTCTGTGCACTGCTGCGAAATAAAATGGAAGCCTTTTTAAGAAAACGTGACAATTCTAAAAAAAAAAAAAGTGTCCTTGTCTCAGGCCTAGACTGGACTGCATTTTATCTTTTATCATTTTCAATACATCTCTCACGTCCATACTGAAAAGTCTTCATTTACTACCAATACCCGCCACACCAAGTCCAGACCCTTCTTCGGTCATTCAAGAGTCTCCAAAATCCAGCTGTGTTGGGAAATTAAATGTGAACTGAAATTAAAAAAAAATAAGAGTCTCCAAAATCTAGCTCATCCTGATCTCATCATTTCTCTTTCCAGCAATCAGGCTTGTCTCCTTGCTATCTCACTAGAAGCCGTATTATTAATATTATGGGTTTATCAAGATCAATAAAGGTCGGCTTACCAAGACCTATAAATTTCAAAATTAATAGAAACCTAAGTCATCTCCATTACCAGTTATTAATGAAAATATGAAGTAAGAAGAAGGCTTACTCTAAATCGGCTGCTGATTGGCTGAAGTAGACGTGGGTGCGCTGTTTGGAAACATCCAGCGTAAGCGCTCTGGTTGGGTCTCTTCCGAAGTTCTTGCAAGAATGTAAGGAGGCCTCCATTGCTTTTGCGATAGCGGAAGAGCACTCAGTGAAGCAGAGAGCTTCTACAACTGCCCTTAGTTCTGCAGAGCGCTGAGGCGGCCACCCGTCCTCGTTACTCCCAGGAGTAAACGCATCACAAAGCCCGTTCTTAACCTTCCCTTTGGTCCAACTGAAGTCATGTTTACCCCCTTCGCTTTGCCCCTTCACCTCTGGCAGAAGAGCATCTAAGAAGGACATGTTATCCATGAACTCTGTGAGGGAATTTAAACAATGAGAAACAAGGGCAGAGCACTCTTTTTCAGCTGGGGTTTGAGGGCTGCGAGAAATGCCATCGTGGTCGGAGTCTAAACATGCATTTCGCTTCCTCGTCTCGGGCGTGTTTTCGCCGTCTTTGTCTTTGCGCTCGTCTGCGCCAGACACAGAAGCCGGGGGCAGGCTAATCGATTCACGAGAAAAGTCCGCGTTGTTGTCAAATAAGTCACTATCGTCTAGAAGGACCATCTTTTTCTTACGTCTCTTTTTGTGTGACTTCTTTGATGGCTGCTGTCCTTCAGAATGGTTCCCAGCAAGGCGTGTCCCACTGTCCACGGCTGGGCTGGCACCCACAGTTTCTGACAGTCCACAGAGGCTGTGTGTTTCTGGAATGGCCTCAACTGGTAATGGTAGAGTGAACTCAAGATTACTATATAAAAAATCCACACTCCGGGTTTGGAATTCTGTAAGCAGCTGGATGAGTTTATGCCACTCTTCCTTTGTTGTGATTTTGTGCTGAAAAGGGATTTTGAGAAAAAATATTATAACCGTACATAGTGTGAACTTTTTTTATCAATAGGAGTAAGAATCCCTATTCTCACTTCAAAATACTGAGCCACTTTACCTCATAATTTTATTAATATATATTCCTTTATACAGTAATACAATATCATATAACCCTAAAATATTGACTTACACTATTTGTAGAATTAAATGACCTAATATTTAAGATGGTACAGATCAGGCAATATTTTGTTTGGTTATACAAAGCTTCTCTAAAACAACACTTAGAACAGATAACATTTAGTAATTCAATAATTTGAATCTCATTAAAAAAAAAACTTTTCTGAAATCATTTTATTCAAAACATTTATAAATCCTATTCTTTTATAAAAATTTATATAAATCCTATTCTTAATCAGATGGCGTGCATTAAGAGCAATGCCACTACACCATTTTGCAAAGAGATAGAATGTGTTAAAATGAGAAATATAAAATCTACAAACATTATAGGCTTATTTCAGTTAACCTTGTGATATCTAAATGATAAAAGTGAGTACTGAGATTAAAAAAAATCCAACACTTAATATTGCAAACTAGACATTCAAAATACCTTTAAAAATGAAAATACATCTTCAGAAGCAAGAAAAATGTTCTTAAGCCCAAACAAAGTCTCAACACAGCCAGTATCACATTTGGGAAGATCTGTAGGATTCTTTTTAGAATTTTTAGAATGTTTCTTGGAATCAGCAGCATTTTCAGAGCCAACTGGTTGGCCGTTCCTGCCATTTCCACCTATATTAACACAGGAAAGCTTTATTTTATTTTATTTTTTTTAACATCACAGGAAAGTTGTAGCTATATATATTTCAACATATTTCACAGCAAACCATTAATTATAAGTAACCCTCAACTTTCGATGGGGTTCTGTTCTAATGACTCCCTCATCAGTTGATTCTGATAAGTATTTTATGACTACAAGTTGGTAATACCTATTAAACGGTAAAATATATATTGCCTTTGACCCTCAGCCATACTTCAGAAAGAAGTAATCACAGGTAATTAAAAACTGTAAATATAATGATAGTTACTGCACTTTAACTGGAATACAAAGCTGAAGATAATTTAAATGTCCACAAATGTCTCTAAAGTCAGTACTTAGGGCTCACTACTGCTCCACGAGAGGAAGGTGTGACAGGCCGCTCTGTACGCACGTATAGACGTGGAAACCCTACGGGGCAGTGTTACACTTCCCTACAGAGTGCCTCCGAATCAGTCACCTCAATAAGAATGGACTTGGTTTGGGAAAATGGCATTAAATAGTTATCAACTATTTGTTTTGTTTTGCTTTAAAACAAGATAATTTCTACACTGTATTTCTCATATTTACATCTCAAAAATCGTTAAAGGCACTAGCTTACACTAAATTAAATATGTATGTGTGTCTAATTTGAAAAAGAATATCACACTAAAAACTTTAACAGATTAAAGAAAAAAATAAGAGCTTAACAGCACAGAACTTCACTTTGAGTACGTTTCCCAAAGTAGGGGCTGTAACTGAAGCAGCAACTGTGGAACATGGAAAACACAAACTACAAATTCTTCAGGGAGGTATGCGTCTTACTCATACACTCCCAGAGCCCGGCATGGAGAAAGTGCTCGGTACATCCATGACTCACGTTTGGTCACAATGATGACTAGAGACCAGTAAGGATAAAAAAGCCAAACAACTGAGAGAATTACAGACTATGGAAGAAGCTAAAGGGACCTTAATTATGTTACAGGCGTACACAATGAATGAAGTATAGCTATATATGCTGACATTGAAAAATGCCCTGTATGGTTTTAATAAGGGAAAGAAGGAAGTTGGCAGAATGGTATATACAATTCTATTTGTTTGTTCAGAAACCCTATGCTTGTAAATGTGTAAGGCATACTATTTTTGATGATTGTAAAAGAACAACTACAAAATAAAAGGTGACTCAAAGCTCCACACGGGGTAACTGAAGGGGGGGTGTGAGAAAAAGAATGGCACAAGCAAAAAGTTTCTGAGCACGCACGCACCAACCAAAAATTAACTCAAAATCAAGTGTTGTCGTGAATCGGAGGTGTTTCTGGCAATGCTTGCCTGTGTTGCAAATTTTGGGGCTGAAAAAGGATCACAAGCGGAAAAAGATGAAGGTCTGATTTTAGTTTAGGGCACTCATCTTTAAGTGAACAAGCTCACAGAGGTAAACTACATTTTGGAGGCTGTACATTAAATAGCAGAGAAGAGAAAGAAATCATGTTTCTAAGCTAAGTTAAACTAACTCTATTTACCCATATTTAATATTTACAAAACATTTTATGAAAACCTCTCTATCCATAGTGGGCATATATATGTATTTTGAAGATTAAAGTGGTAACTGATGATCAAAAGTTGATAAGATGTCAGATGATCTGGAATAGCATAAATTTTTAAATAGTGATCCACTATGAAAATTTATTTTACAGCAGATCAACTTACCATAAAGGAATAAGGGTCTCTCTTCTAAAAATCCACCTCCACTTTTAATCCAGAATTGTAAGTAAAGGATGCTCTTTCTGATGTCACAAGTATTTGCAGTTAGAAAGGTGATAAGGTCTTTTGCATCAGTTCTAAAATTCTCAGTTAAGCAGATCATCTGTAGGTAACTGGCAACATTTCGCTTTTAAACAAAAAGATGAGAGAAATGTGTTTGGTTGCAGAGTTAACAGAAATGCAACATTAATGCATATGAACAATATCTAAAATAAAAACAAACTTTGTGAAAATCCACAATATTGTGAAGTTCATCATGTGTGTGAAACTGCTATATGAAAATAAAAATAAATATGCCAACAAAATAAAAGCATTTATATATACTTATTTTTTAATTGCATTTAGTCTAAAACAGCAAAAAAATTCTCTGACTTGTACAGTAGAGGATATTTTAATTCTTGAGAAAACTCCTTAGGGTTAAGCCACGGTACAGCCTGATGAAATATTATGAAATATCATACAGCTTTTAAAATTATAAATGAGTAAGTATACTCCTTATATGCTTTCTACAAAACCTGCTACAGTTATATCAATACATGCATAAGATCACATAGGCATGTAAACAATGCAAGTGGAGGAAAAATCATGACTTGATAAAGGTAAAAGAGTGAAATTTTTTTCATTTTGTTTAGTGTACTATTAGTATTGCTTATTATCTAAGAGCAACAAACATTTTTACATTGCTAGTGGCACACTGGATTATGCGTTAGGCTGCACAGGGTCAGCAGTTTGAGTCCACCACCTGCTACACAGAAGAAAGGTGAGGCTTTCTGCTCCTATAAAGACTTACCACCTGGGAAACGCAAAGGGGGCAGTTCTCTTGTCCTGCAGGGTCACTATGAATCAGAATGCACTGGATGGGAGTGGGCTTGGTTGGTAAGTAACTGTAAATCTGCTTAAGCACACAATTCTCTCTCATTGTTGATCATATAACACTTTTTACCTTGGAAAACTAAAATAAATAAAATTGTATTTACATTTCATAAGACTATCAGGATTTTACTTTCATAGTAAACTAGGTTTATTCTATAGATAGACATTAGTCCCACACACTTCTCTTCCAAACTAGGAATTCTATTTTGTACAATGAAGTAGTTGCTATCAAATAAACTCTTCCACTAATAATTACTATAAACTCTATGACTAACTTAAAAAAAACCATATTTGGAGGCACCAGAAGTGAGCAAAAGCTGGTTAAAACTCGAGGGAAAAGGAGTATCGTTCTGGGTAAGCCCTCACCTTTTTTGTTTTTTTGATTGCTTTTCAACTGAGGAGAGGGTGCAGCAGAGTTGACAAAAACTCAGATAGAAATGCATGGTGTTACTGGTTTGAAAAACCAGAGAACAAGAATTTGGGATGATTACAGTGGCTAAAATATGAGGAAAGGTCCTAGAAAAAGACCAGAGATTCTACCAATAAAGGTAGAACAACTGGCTGGCCCCAATCCCAACTATATGGACAGCCACTCCTCCCCCCAGAAGAATGCACTTCAGAGGACAGCACTGAAGCTACAGCTCAGGGAGAGGGACATGTCTGATCAGAGCACACGAAGGGAGAGGAAGAGAGAGTGGAGGATATCCTGGCCCACCAAGCCCTGAGGACCACATTCCCGTTCAGAACAGCCAAAGCACAGAAAGGACCATAAGGCCAGCCCCACTACGAGACAAGCCATCCCTCACTGACCCATAGCGCTCCGGGGACAACACTGGAGACAGTGCGGGAATTGTACCCAATCTGACCCCATCACACCAAGGCAAAATACTAAGGGCATGCAACAGAACAGACTGGACTGGAAAACACTCCTAAAGGTCAACAAACAGACCTTGAACTATTTATAAGCTTTTCTTTCTTTTTTTAAGCTTTTCTTTTTTTTGGTCGTTGGTGTTTTGTTTTGTTGCTTTGTTTTGCTCTGTCTTGTTTTTGTGCATATTATTATCTCTGCATGTCTATCTAGATAAGATAGGCAGGATAAATAATTCGGAGATGAAAAGAACAGGAACAATGGTTCCAGGGGGATACAGGAGAAGGGGAGGTGGGAGAAAGGAAGTGGGGAAACCAACCCAGGTATAAGGGAACAACAAGTGAACTAAAATCAATGGAGAAAAGGGTGTAGGATGCCCAGTGGGGCTTAATCAAGGGCAATGTAGCAGTGAGGAATTACTAAATCCAAATGACGGTCGAACATGATGGTGGGACAAGAGGAAAGTAAAAAGGAAATAGAGGAAAGAACCAGAAGGCAAAGGACATTTATAGAGGTCTAAATACAGGCATGTACATATGTAAATATAAATCTAACGAGAGGGGAATAGAACTATGTATTCATATCTATATGTTAAGAATTACGGTTGCAGATGGACATTGGGCCTCAACTCAAGTACTCCAACACAAGAACACTTTGTTCTAATAATTTGGCATTCTGTGATGCTCACCTTCCCGACATGATCACTGAAGACAAAAATGGGTACATAAGCAAATATGGTGAAGAAAGCTGATGGTGCCTGGCTATCAAATGATATAGCGTCTGGGGTCTTAAAGGTTTGAAGATAAACAAGCGGCCATCTAGCTCAGAAGCAACAAAACCCACATGGAAGAAGCACACCAGCCTGTGTGATCACAAGGTGCCGAAGGGATCAGGTATCAGGCATCTAAGACCCAGAATAAAATCATACCCAATGTGACTGAGGTAGGGCACAGGGGAGCATGGAGTGGAGACAATTGGACGTCCCCTCACAGAGGGGTCACAGGGAAGAGATGAGCCAGTCAGGGTGCAGTATAGCACTGATGAAACACACAACTTTCCTCTAGTTCTTGGGTGCATTCTTCCCCCCACTATCATGACCTCAATTCTACCTTACAAATCGGATTAGACCAGAACATGCACACTGCTACAGGTAAGAGCCCACAACACAGGAAATCCAGGATAGATAAACCCCTCAGGGCCAACAATGAGAGTAGAGATGCCAGGATTAGGGGGGTGTCGGAGGAGGAAGGAGGAATCTATCACAAGGATCAACATATAAGCCCCTCCCAAGGGGATGAACAATGGAAAAGTGGGTGAGGGGCAACAGAGGACGATGTTAGATATGAAAATAATAATCTATAACTTATCAAGGGTTCGTGAGGGAGGGAGGGCAGGCAGGGGACAGAAAGGGAAGAAATGGGGAGCTGATTATCAGGGCTCAAATGGGAAGAGAATGCTTTGAAAATGATGATGGCAGCATATGTGCAAATGTGCTTGACATACTGGATGAATGCATGAATTGTGATGAGATGTATGCCCCCCCAATAAAAGTATTTAATAAAAAAGAAAAGGAGGAAGACAATCAGCAGAGACTGATCACAAGATGACTAAGACGCAGACTCGGAGTTTTAAAGGAGCTTAAGTAAAACATTCATTATGAATGACCACATAGAAAATCTTGGCAGAGAAATATGAGGGGACTACGAAAATTCAGAGAAATAAAATAGAAAGATCATGACATTTCTCTATGAACCTTTTGAAGCTCTCTCCAGAAACAATGAGAAGGAATTAAATTACATAGAGCCAGTACCACTCTCCTTGGGAAAACACTAAGTAGTCTCTTGCCCTGTAAGATTAGGCACATGCTAAGGACTGTTAGCACTTCTGGATAATATTGTACTGAAGGTCCTAGCCAATGAAAAATGGCAATAAGAGGGGGAAAGGGGAGACAAATGTGATAGGAAAATAAAAAGGTAATACAACTGTCTCTACTCACAGATGACATGGTTGCTTATGCAGAAAATACTAAGAAACCAGCAAAACAACTACTAGAATTAACGGGCTTTTTTGGTTGTTGAATTCACAATTTGGCAAAAAATAAAAATAAAAAATATGTAAAAAATAAAATTTAAAAAAATCTGGCAAGAATGAAGGAAAGAACTATAACAGTAGTTCCCAAAGTGGGTGATACCACTCCATGAGGGGCACTGGAATAATCCAGGAGGTTATAGAAGCAGATAGCTACACATTATCCTAGATAATTACAGGGTAGGGGAGCCTGTGCTCATTTTCACCCCCAAGTGGGTGCAGTACACAAAATAAGTTTGAGAACCTATGATCTAGAGCTAAGAGCACTGCTATTTCAATAAAAAGATAATGCAAGTCATAGAGAAATAACACTAATTTACAAGTGGGCATATAGGTAAGCTACACAAGTTTGGGATGTGCTGCTGCAAAGATGGCCATGTGCATGCGTATAGCACAGTTCATACAGGGCAAAATTATAAAAACTTAACTAATTTAAATTAGGTCGTTTAGTATATCCAAAATAGTAATTTAAGATGAGATCAGTATAAATCGTGGATTATTTTACCATCCTGGTTTTGTACTAAGTCTTCTATCTGATGTTTATATTGTTTTTTAGCACACGTACCTCAATCCAGACTCCAAACTAAACTCACTGCCATGAAGTCAGTGCTGACTCATAGCGACCCTCTGTGGGTGTCTGAGTCTATATTTAACTGTTTATCGGAGTAGAAAGCCCAGTCTTTCTCCCATGGAGCTATTGGTAGTTTCGAATACTGACAATGCGGATTTAAGCCTAACGTGTAAGCACTACACTGAAAAAAAAAAAGTTGTAATGTGATATAATTCTTATACCATGCAATTTGTCTATGCAATTTGTCTCAGTGTACACTTCAGTGGTTTCTGTGGTAATGCTACAACCATTACCATTCTATAATTCCAGAACACTTTCATCACTACAAAAAATGAATCTGGTCGACAAGCAGTTACTCTCCACCTCTCCCTATTTCCTCCAAGCCTAAGTAACCACTAGAGAACAAGAATGAAATGAAAAACAGTATGTGGACCCAAAGAAGACCCAAACGCACACAAAACGGGATCTAAGTTTGTGTCCTGTGACATGAAATGTCAGAGTGGGCAAACTAACCTATGCGATAGACAAGCATCAGAGTAGTGGAGAGGCGGTGCTTTGCCGACTGAAAAGGGGACCCAAGAAAACTTTTGGAGGGGATAGAAATATTCTATATTCTCATCTTACATGGGTGTTTACATATGTTAATGCACAATGAACTAATTTTATATACATACAGCTTAACAATATGCATATTTACCTCAGTACTCTTTTTTTTTTTTTTTTTAACCTCAGTACTCTTACCGTGGAAAAAAAACACAAACAAATGAACACTTATGGTAGCCTAGAAATGATTTAAAGACTTTAATTTGGGGGGAGGGGGGGATCTTTCATAAAGCAAAGAAAAAAATTAATAATGAGAAGCTTCCCCAAATAATCAGGAGCCCTGGTGGCATAGTGGTTCCATGTTGGGCTGCTAACAGCAGGGTCTACAGTTTGAAACCAGCAGCTGCTCCAAGGGAAAGAGCAGGCTTTCTACCCCAATGAAGCCTGCGAAAGCCACGGGAGCAGGTCTGTTCTGTGGGAGAGGGTGACTGTGGGTTGGAATCCACTCAATGGCAGGGGACTTAGTTGGATTTTATGGTTCCCAAATAAAAAGTTTTAACATATCATTTAACAACCACATTTTAAAACTGTAATCGATACTCTAATAAATCATAATTATGCTGTTAACTACGATCATCAAAATTCAAAACTTACTGCAGAAGGAGTACTAAATTTTATTTCTTCAAAACAGCCATCAAACATTAGACTAAATGTTGGATCTGCAGGGGGGAACAAAAAGTTTACATTAAAAACCACCCAAATCACTTTTTCTGGTTATTCTTTTCCTATGCAAATAGTCTGCTTTTTTTACCATTAATGAAAATGTAATATTGTGCAAATGATAAAGACTTAAGAAATAAACTTTATGGTTTAACCATAATCATTTAATTAAGCTACACCTAACTTGTGATTATTAAGATTTTTACCATTACTTTAAAATAAAATAGGGAGACGTCGGACACGGCAAGATATGACAAAATACCCATTTATAAACTATCAAGGGCTCATGCGGGAGGGGAAAAATGAGGA